GGATTAAAGAAAACTTAGGAAACAATGGGTTTGAGGACCACTCATTTATGAAACATATATGTAAATATGCCATTCTTGCTCTGCACTTTCCTCCATACATTTTGGTGATGATGAGGGCAAAGATGTGCTTGTGTTATTGTATATATCTTGAGAGTATAGGCGTGCATGCCCGCGACTACAACAATTGCACTCCGCTTCATGGCTGGATTAACGTTTCCGCCATGTTCAAAACAGCAGCTTCGTACCTTAGGCCTCTGAAGTTGCCTTGATTTCTCGAATACGTGGTCATTGATGACTTATATTGTTTTTAACCAATTTCCATGTTAACTGTTAATGTAAATATAAACTCACAATTTGTATGACTTGCATTATTTCATAGTAGGCCTATTATGAAATGGGTAATGTTAGGAGACTAAATTTGTAGATAAAATTTTGAAAACTAAAGAGCATGAAAGTTGATAATTGGTTTATTACTTAAGCGTTGATAAACGTGCTTATTTTTATCAGTGACATATAATTTATTTTGCAAATTTTGTCCTCCTAACATTATCCTTAGAAATATTCAATGAGAATTAATTTGGTGAGGATGCTGAAAAAGAGGATGAGTTGATTCGAAATTCTGAATAACGTCTTTTTCTCGATAAGCATGGATACAAAGTCTTTTTTCTCAGCTTAATACTGTTGCTCCATTACACAGTCAGTACAATTGGAGGGAAATGGTATGATGCATATGGTATTACTTTTAGCTTTATAGTATTCGGTTTTCCTTTTTTTTTTTTTTTTTTTTTTTTTTTCCTTCCTTCTCTTTCATGTTGTAATGTATACTTTCAGCTTAATTGTTTTTTATCCATATGTTTATGTCTATGCAGATAAAAAGTTATCATTTTGTCATGCTCAAACCAGGGGTGCAGCAGCAGTTTGTTGCAGCCGTTTATGGAATGCTTATCTGAAATGTGCTTGTAGCATACATGTTCTTTGTGCCTTAAAGGACAGGGGATGTAATGTTTGTGGAGCTAAAATTTTTCTCAAAAATCCAGAAGACAACATGTAGATTCTATCTCAAGAAAGGTAAGATTGCCTTCATTAAATAGGAAGGGCTCTCAAACACTCCCACGAGCAGCTCATCATCCCTGAAGGTCCAAGCAACTAACTACAACTGCTCAAAGCTCCCCTACTCATGGCATGGAAAAGTCAAAGGTATTAAAGATAAAGATTAATTATTAAATCCTACCTTTAATACATTCCCAATTGAAAATCAATTCCATCAAGTAAGAAATCCTTTTTACAATCAATCATGGATATTTCCATCATTATCCCAAGATATTATATCATAATTAATATCTTGTAAATAAGCCTTCCTCATTCATCCAATGGATAAAACAACTTGAGGCCATCTCCAACCGAATGGTCCAAAGGGCCAAAGGGCCGAAAATAGCCCGAAATCCATCTTCAATTGAGGGCTAGGCCAGAGGGCTTGTGGGCCCTAGGGAATCTGAAAGGCCAAAGGGTTGGTCGCATGCAATTTGGGGCTAGCCAGAAATTAAAAAAATCCTGTCGAATATAACTGACGTGAATGCTTAAATAGAAATTTTAATCCAACGGCTAGCTGACTAGCCATTTTTCCTATAAATACCTAAACAATTCATTAAATTTAAGTTCTAATTTTTTTGGTTTTTTGGGCCAGTTACCGTTTTAGTTTTTAAATTTAAGTTGTTGTACCTTTTTAATTTAAATAATAAATTAAGTTTAGCCCATGACCCTTTGGCCCTCGGTTGGAGACGAAGGGCTAGAAAGCTAAAACGAGCCCTCTAGCCAGCCCTCGATTGGAGATGGCCTGACAATTAGAATGCTGTCATGTGTAGGGTGATTCCCTCACTATGGCCAGTTGCCTCTTCCTATAAATACCTCCATATCTATCACTTTGGCAAGCTTTTTGCTATGCATACAAGCCCTAAACACTCAATCATTTCGGAGAAACTAATTTAGGCATCGGAGATTTGTGGGCACCCCCCTCCCCTTCCTTCCCCTAACTTCGTATGCGCGTGAGGCTTTGGTCTTTGATCAAAGGTTGTGATTGTTTTGTAGGTACAAATTCATCAAGACTGAAGACGGCGGATTTTTGCTTCAAAACATTAGTGCTTTCATTAAGAACTTGATTCAAATACTTGAAGACGGCTCTTGCAATTATTGTGGAATTTTTTGTTACGTTGAATTTCTTGTACGCTCAAGTTGCTGAAATTTTTCCTAGAACATTGTTTGATTAGTCTATGAAGAAAGGATACAATAGTAGAAAATTTCAAAACCTACTACCTCGTATAAGGGCTTTTACCAACATGGTGAACCGGAAAACAGAGCAAGAACGATACCCACCACTGCAGACTGCCATCAGTGCTATTGCTGAGCATCTCTTGGCAAGGACCACTGCAGTTGCAGCAGCCCAAGCCGAGGCATAGAAGCAAGCAGCTTGCGTTGCCATAGCAGCTCTAGGGCATGAGGCCCATGGAAACCAAGAGCAGAGGATGCCCAGATCATTGCAGTAGCTGTTGTGTAGGCCGAGCTGCCCAGCCCATATGCTGGCAGCAGAGCTGGCTAAGCAAGCAGGAGAAGCCCACGGGCAGGTAGCCCACGAGCGAACTCAACGTGCGCCTAGCTTGCCATGCGAAGGCCACATGCATGTAGGCCTAAAGGAAAGCCAAGATGGCCCATCCCAACAACTACAACGCAGCAGCTCGTGTGGAGGCAACATGCAGAAGCAAGCTTTCTAGGCCCATTTAGCAAGGAGCCCATCAGGCGCAGCTGTCCCGCACCTGGATTCTGGGAGAATTCGACCATTTTAAGGTTTCGACATGTTTTTATGCAGATTTGGTCGTCCCAAGCTCAAATTTTGTGCCTGATACAATCTCGGCAGAGTACGGATTTGACCAACGCCTTCACGCAGCAGTCCATCTTGGCAAACCAATTCCTCGAGCATGTTAACAAGTAGCGCATTCTTGACGAGGTGTCCTGAAGCAGGACAAAAGCTGATGACAATACTATGTCCAAGACACAAAAAACAGCTCGACTAGCCATGAGCTAGGCGTTCATGTAGCGTGCACTTTCTCATGAGCCTTGCAGAAACACCTTCTCCCACCTTAATGTGCTGAGAAGTGTCAACTCTCGAAAAGGTTAGCAGGCAAGTGCATGTCCACGGTTTGGTCCACGCTCTAACATATAAAACCCGAATCCAGCGTAGTGTTCACTCACGACATGGCCCGCAAGTAGTTCCTTTCACTTTACACTGGAGCAAGCAACAAAAGGAACATAAAGAAACTCGATTACAGTCATGTTCAAATTTAATTGGCACTCAACACCTTGCGTAATTATGAGCAGCCCGTTTGTTAGCCAGAGATGAATAGTGTGTAACGAGCTATGACACAGACAAGCAAGCTGCCGGGAAAAAGCAGCACAGACCTACAGACCACTGCTGGAGGCAACCGAGGTGCCATCGCCAGAATAGAGGCAGATTCAGGAGGAAGTAAAAACACTCAAACCCAAGTTCATCTAGAAATCAACGCCTAATGCAAGGACAAGCAACCCACTCGTTAGCCAAGGACAAACTACATGTACCGCAATAACGACACAAACAAGCAGGAGACAATGCGCTACAAAATCCTTCGTCGCACAAAGTTTTCAACATTTGCGGGACGAATATCCGAGTTCAGCTCGCAAACACACTTTAAGTGACGAAATTTATGGCATCATGCAAGCAGTTTTTCCTACTAGTGGTGTAATGTTTCAAGCATGAATGAGTTTTTTGAACACTCAAAACACCTTAGAGGGTATTAGTGTAATTAACCCCTTTCTGTTCTCTAATCTCGTTTAGCAACTTTTAGAGTTGTCATCGGGCAAGATTTTTTGTTTTCTATTTTTTTTCCTTTATAAATCTTACCAATGAAATTTTCGTCGACATAAATATATTTTTTAATTTTTTTCGTAAAATAAAACTTTGACCAATGAAATAGTTTGGTTGGGCATGTTAGGTTCATCGGGCATTTTTGTTCGATGAAATTGTTGTCGATAAATCAGTCGGGCAAAGTAATTTTTCCAGACGATTTGTTATTTTCATTGGACAAAATTTTGCGCAATGAATTTTGCGCGACGAACTTTCCCCAACGGATTGTGGGCGGGCAAAACCTAAGGCGACGAAACCTCATTTTGTCCGACTAATTTCTTTCGTCTGGAAAAGATATTTTTTTGTAGTGCTAAAAATGAATGGTTTTGGGATTACATTGTGAAGTAGATCAAAAAGTGATTACTATCTTATTAACTTCCTAATTGGTTAGTTGTGTCAACTTACGAGTTCCAAAGTGTTTGCCGTTTAATTTAATATATATGCACTGCATAAGTTGTTGGTTTGATTTATAATTTATGGAGGTAGATTCTCTGCCCTCCACTTTCTGTGCTCTCTTGTGCTCTCCTATTTTGTGTGGTGACGGTTAAGGTACGTCAACCTTTTATATTACTATTCATTTTTGTCTTATTATCTCTATAAAAAAACAATATAAAATGTTCACGTGACTTAACCAGTGACCACACAAGACAAGAAGATACGGAAAGTGAGAGGGCAGAGAATCTGCCTCCATAATTTATGGCGCTAGGTGTAAGAAAAAGTACATTTCGTCTTGAATCAGAGCTATATTTTAGCATATATAACAAGTATTTTGGTGTATACTGAGGAATGAAAAAGTAAGAAGAATAAGAGATGAGAGGAAAGATGTACCCGTACACCTTGGGCAACACGAGTAGTCTATTGTGTATTCTTAATTTGGTTTTCGTTGCAGTTCTCTTATCTTATATGATTGTCAGCAAAGGATATACATCTGGTGGGAGATAAAGACATGATAATTAAAATATTACAATGATTGCTATTTAAATTTAAACAATGCAGTGAAAGAGATGATTGAAAATAATTATTTGGCCTTATCGATTGACTTTATATTATGTCAGTCATAGGTCGGTCAATGGCCATTACGTACGACCAAAATATTGATATAGTTTTCCCGTCTATCCTATGGCTCACTCATCACATGGCTACCTTAGAAATCTGTAACTTCTTGATCTTTTTCCTGTTCTTCCTCTTCCATCCTCATAGCGCTAGCACCACATGCGGTGGCTCAACCTGCCCTGATGGCGGCCCGTTGGTTCGTTTCCCTTTCCAGCTAACAAACCACCAAGCCAAAAGTAATTGTGGGTATCCAGGGTATGATCTCTCATGTAACAACAGAAGTCAAACCACTCTCACTCTTCCATCTTTTGGGGACTTCACTGTCCAAACCATCAACTACATGATACAAGTGGTGTCGATCAGCGACCCCGATAACTGTCTTCCTAAACGTTATCTCCACCATGAAACCAGTCTTGTGGAAAATTCACCCTTCTTCCACTTTACTTTCAGCAGCCTGGTGAACTACACGTTCCTCAACTGTTCCTCCTCTGAAGTACGCAGCTTGCCTTCAGGAATCATCTCTTGCCTCAGCACTGAGTACCACAAGGTCATTGCTTTACGTACAAGTTGGCTTTTGCCACCCAATCCAATACCATTGCCTCTTTGCTCTGTGATTTCGACAACTTTGGCTCCGAGTTTATTTGATTGGGATAACCATGACATCGAGTTGACATGGAAGGTGCCTGATTGTCGTTCTTGTGAAGCAGGAGGTCAGGTTTGTGAGTTAAAGAAAGGAAAACGTTTGCAAATCCGATGCTACGGTATGATGCATATAGGATTTTTTTTTTCCTGGCATAATTGTTTCTGTATACGTTTATCAGTGAATTTGGATATTAATAACATTGATTCTTGCCTGAATGTTCCATTATATCCACAGCCCAGCAACATAAACATATACCCGATATTTAGATGATAGTAAAACTAAGGAGAACTTAGGTTCTCATCCCTATTTTTTTTACTTCATTGATTAAGACCTTATTCATTTGAATTTTTAATCAATGTCCTTAAGTTTTAATAATGTCATTAATTATGTCAATAATAAAATATTTACATGTGAAGATAATTAAATTTATTTATTTTCAATTAAATTGTATTTCTAAGTATATTCATTTAATGTTAGAAACGTTACATTTGGTATATTTATATTTATGGCTAAACTTTGTATCATATATTTCTATTTTTAATTTTAATTTGTACCCATTTATTTTTTTTTATTTGTGCCCCTTAAGCTTTTATTTATACTCATAATTTTTTAACCTTTTATTCGTGCCCGTAATTTATTTATAATGTACCCATTTTTACTTAAAAATGTACCACTTTGTTAAATGCAAAATGTACTCATTTTTTTGTTTTGTAAGTACCATTCATTTTATGTAAAATCTACCCATTTTTTAATGTAAAATCTATTTATTTATTTTTTAAAATCTAAAATGTACCCATTGTTTTTATTTATATATAAAATGCACCTCTTGTTTTTTTTTTTTTTGTACATATAAAATGAACCCATTTAATCTATATAAAATGTGTCCCTTATTTTTTGTATAAAATGTACCAATTGTTTGTATGTGAAATGCATCCACATTTTTATATAAACGTACCAATTATATATATACACACACATATATATAATGTACCCAAATTTTATTATATAAATGTATTCATATTATAAAAATAAAAAGAATTCTACCCATAAGCAATTTTTTTTTGGTTGAAATCCATAAGCAAATTTCAATAATTAAATTGGTGGTGTAAATAAAAGCAAAATAATGGTTTAAGTCTTTATTGATATTATTACATCTTTTTTATTATTATGTCATTTATGTGGAGAGGGACTTCAATCTAAAATCTAAAATGCATAAGATTTGAATCTATAACAGTTAAGGATCAGGGACTGCAACTAAACTATCCCTAAAACTAATCTAATGCAGTTCAATATATGTTGCAGTTGGAGTCTCTTCAGATCCCTCAAAATCTAAAAAGCACGGCATAATGATGGGTGTGGGAATTCCTGTGCTTTTGTTAAGCATTTGGCTTGGACTTCATTGTTGTGGCAGAATGATGGAGGTCAGTGGTCGGAACAACCATCCCATCGTAGAATTATCTACCGTAACCAATCGGCTACCTCCCGCAATCACAACCGGCCTTGACAGTCCGACCATCGAATCATATCCCAAAACTCAACTTGGTGAGAGATTGGAATTGCCCAAGCCTAATGACAACACGTGCCCAATATGCTTGTGTCAGTACCAGTCCATGGAAACATTAAGGACCATACCTGATTGCGACCATTACTTCCATGCTAATTGTATAGATGAATGGCTTAAGTTGAATGCAACGTGCCCGCTTTGTCGAAATCCACAGGAGAGATAATAGTACCATAAGTCATTTTGTGTTTCAGCTACCATGTATCGATCGGTATACTACGTTAAGTTAAAAGGTTTATTTGATGATCATTTTATTTTTGTGCCTGAAAAATGGGAAAATTATATGGTGAAAAAGATAGAGGAGAAATTATAGAGAATTAATGATGATAGAAAATTAACGAGTGGTGAATTTGTCCCACCGCTCTACCCATTATGTTTCGGCTTCAAACTTTTTGCTCTCCTCTAGTGTAAATTAAAGTTGTAAATTCACTTGTATTTAAAAAGAAAGAGAGGAGAGTTAATAAAAAAAACTTGAAATGAATTTTGGTTTTTGGTTTATAACTTTCTTTTGTTCAACCCATCTTTATAACTTTTTTCAATACAATCATTTAGTCATCTCTGAAAGAAAATAATAATCAAATCATAGATCATCTAGTCCTATTTGCATACTAATATAGAACCGCCTATTTATTTCTGTTTGGGCCCAAAACAACACTTTGGACTGAGCCTGGAATTGCTCTCGGTCCAATAAGGAACATCGAGAATATTCTCTACCATAGGCCAAGCCCAGAAGAGTTCGGCTGAGTCTTATCAGAATGTTGTTTCTGCCTAGATAAAGGTAAAGTAGTCGAATCCTAATACAATAGGGATTCTTCAGTAGCTAAAAGCTTTTGAATCAGAAAAGATGCCGAAAGTCAAGGGTTGAATCTGAATGACTAAAAAGTTTGGTTCAGAATCCTACAGGAGTTAGGATTGGTCGATGCCAAATTAGATTAGGATTGAGAACTCTAGTCTTAGTAAAATTCTAGTTCGGTTATTGGGGAGATCGCTACTATAAACTGAGAGGAGGGTGCATTATTCAAAGCCCTTCCAATTCAACACACAAATGCCTTGCACAAACCTCTCAAACATCTTGAGATTGTTAATTTCTTTTTCCCCGCCAACACATCTTCAGTTTGGATAAACAACACTGTGGAGGCAATCGGCAACATCTTCAGTTTAGATAAACAACACTAGAGTCGTATAATTAGGAGACCGAGGAGAACCTTCAGTTTAGATAAACAACATTGCTTCGAGACCAACTAGTTATGTATCTAAGTCTTGGTTAACAAGGATTTTCGAGTCCTTATTAGAAGAGGTCATCTCATCAACCTTCTCGGCGAAATGAGGTGTTACCAGGTTACTATATTCGACACACTGAAAACCGAATTTGATATTGAACTTCACAGAACTAGCAGCCTTGTCTTCAGGCTCTAGAACCCTAAGGCCGAGACGCGTTCCTTCCTCAACCACAGTTGCGAGATCACGAAGTCAGTTAATAGCACACCCAATGCCACATCAACATATTTTACTTCCCGATTAAACTCGGCTGATGAGTTGGCAGGCCTAGCATTAAGGACGTAGTTAGCTTATTAATTACTCAGCCTACGCGCCATGTAGGCTAAGTAGTTTTTAAGGCCAACATTTTGGCACGCCCAGTGGGGCCCAGTACTAAAGCTATGAAGTTCATGACCATTAAAACACGGTCAATAAAAAAGAAAACAACTATGGGTAAGTCAACCACCAGTTTAGCACTTATAGCTTAAAGTTCAATACAAAGTAACTTGTCACTGGTGTAGGATCCTCCTGGTGCCATGACACCTGAAGCCACAGGCACGGCGTGCCGAGATAAGGAAATTAATCTCGGCAGTCAAAATCATGATGCCATGGTCTTCACCTAGACAACTAAGATGGCAAAAGATAGTTTTATTGAAGGTTTCGTAAAGGATTGAGACGACGACGATGAGACATATGGTCCACCATCTAAATCTTTTCTCCGACGACGATTGGAAAAACAAGTTTGGCAGTTTGAGCAAATGTTTGGCTAAAGATGAAAAGCGTACTTGAATTAGTACATGATAATAATGCGTTGAATAACAAGTTGCTTGAAATTCTAGTTAACAAAGCTCACAAGAACGAGCCAGTCAATCAATCTAGGTAGTGTTTTATCAAGAATGTTTCTTTGGCAGAAGAAAGGTTGTCACCGATATCGGTCAAGATAGAATTCACTTGGCCTAGGATAATCGACCTCGAGAAAACATACGGTGAACCAAGCACTAGTTCGGCCTAATTAGGCCAAAGGATAGAAGCAACACTAGTGGATATGGTTGAAGTCCAGAAGATGATCAATTTGGCCGATTCGACCTTCAAAAGGGGGCTAAAATTCCCAAAGTTTATTCATCCATATCTAACCTTTGTACAAAAGTTTGAATATCCTCGAGGATTCAAGATCCCAGATTTTAGTCTCTTCACTGGGGAATCGTCGTTGTCCTCATTCGAACATGTAGCCAGATTCACTTCCCAATATGGAAATGTCAACAATGATTTTTATAAACTACGATTGTTTAATTTCTCATTGACAAGCATAGCGTTTGCGTGGTACATTAACCTTTCACCGAACTCTATACAAAACTGGGAAGAGCTGGTTGAGAAATTCCTTGAATAATTTTGCCAACTAGGAATGGAAGTGTCAGTCTCCTCTTTAGCTAAGATGGCCCAATCATCTGATGAGTCACCAATGGAATTCCTTACCTGGATAAAATCGGCCAGGAACTGGTGACGAGTACTCCTTCCCGAGGTGGAATTTGTTAGGCTTGCCCATAATGGCCTAGATGTAGAATACAAGAAGAAATTCTTTGGGGGAAACCTTCAAGATATGTATAAGTTGGCTCAACACGTCAAGCAATATGATTATTTGCTCAAAGAAGAAAATATCTCGAAAACCCCAACCTGTGGGACAATCTATAAGAACCCAACGGTAAGATATGTATCAGCTGGGGGTGATGAGTCCCAATATGTCAGCATAAACACAGCAGAGATAGTGATCGACAACCCTTATGTATGCAAGGTACGGGCTCATGCTAGTTCTAAAGATATCAAAACGCACTTGGCCATTGTTGAAGCAGCTGTCAAAACATTAAAGGTATATACTTTTGATATCACCAAGGCTGATGTTATCTTTGTCCAGCTACTACTTGCAAACATCATTTAGCTTTGGCCAGGGCAAGACATTCCTAAGGCCAAAGATTTAAAAGGAAAAACATACTACAAGTATCACAATTCAAACAAACACAAGACGAATAACTGCGTCGTGTTCCGTGATGCTATTCAAAGCTGGATTGATAATGGAAAACTAAAGTTCCTAGAAAAGACATAGATGTTGGTCGATGCTGATCATTTCCCTTCGGTAACAATATGCATGATAGGTGCCAATTTGCCGAAGGATAAGAAAAAAGGAAAAGCTGAGTACATCCCGACCTATCACGTCCTAAAAAAGAATCCTTAATCGTGCCTAAAAATCAAATTTTCAACTGAAAATGACCCTATAGTTTCTTCTTGAATCTAGTGTATGCCAAACCAGCATCTAACTCTAGTGCCGATAGGATTAAGTGCCCAATAATCTTGTGTAGTAGGTGCCAGTCAGAAATCATCATAGCCAAGCCAAGACCATAGAAACCATTGACCAAACCCACATCAATGGTTTCGGCGAAATCTCAACCAGTGCTCAGTT